AAATAAAATAAAATAAAATAAAATACTGGTATATGTTCCACACCAAATTACAGTTTTAAAAGGCATTAACTGAGGCAAGAAGAGGTGGCATTAATCCAGCTCTTAGATTGAAAGGCTTAGAAGTCCACTTTCTATAATTATTGTAACACTACACCTAGGTTCATGTGGTAACCAGGATTATAAACACTTTTGAATTTGTTTCAACTCTATTTAAAAACTGTGAAAATCACTGTGAGAAGCAGATTTACGAATCAAATCATGAGGAAATTACAAAATTCCTTTCAATACCCTTACTGAGACACGTGCCCTGAGTAATCAAGGTTTAGCATGTTTGAGTTACTTACTTCCTCTCTTTCTAATTTCAGGTCTTCTTTTGCCTTCAAAAGTTTTCCTTGAAGTTGTCTTTCTCTCTCGTTTCTCAAAGCAACCTCTCTCTGGGCTGATTCTAACTGCTCCTGAAAAAAACAAACAAAAAAGAAAATGAAGCACATGAACAAGGTAATAGCAAAATATGAAAAAGTGTTATAATACCAACTTTTTATTTAGCTTGGGTATGTCATCTGCATATGAAAAAGAAGCGGTTTTTTACAACATTTAACAATAAAAAATTGTGATAAAACATTTCGTAAAAGCATACTAAAAATTTGATGACAACGTGTCAATGTCTGGCTAACATTATTATCAAGTCAAAGAGTGAAAGATGACAAATGTTTAAATACTAAAAAGACAATAGGTATTGGAATGTCCTTTTAAGCAGAGAGTTTTGTGAGAATGGAATCATCTGTAAACATAGAAAAAAATTTCCCTCTGTATCGAGAAGATATACAATGTACATGCAACTTGCAATTTAGATGTTATGATTATTTCAATTTTGCTTTCTTACTCTATAATACATGTCTCTAGAAGAAATAAAAATGAAAAAAAAGTAAAGTGAAAATAAAAAGCAAGGACTAAACAAGAACCACAATAAAGATAAACATGTCAAACAATCACTGAAAATGATCAATATAACTTTTGCATATCAATAAATATTTAATCAAGATGATACCAATCAATAAGGCTGATGTAATGTACATGCACAATTGTACCTTAAGTCTTTTCTGTGTCTGTACAAGATGTTCATTATCACACTCAGATCGAAGAATCCTTAAAAAAAAAAAGACAAATTAATTAACACATTTTAACAGACACACGGCAACATGGAATCTATTTGTTTAATATGATAAAAAAGGAAAATATTGTTAATGGCAATGTCATCCATGCAATAGGGTTTAAGGAAGAACCAATCAAAATGCATGTAGGATTCAGATTATTATATAAACAATCAGATTGACGACACGTAGTTGGGTGTTTGATTACTATGGAAGCATATTCAGGGCTTGACACTAACTTTTCCAGGTAGCCAAGTAGCTAGTAACAGCTTAGATGTTACGACAATTTCAGTTTGTTTTCTAGCCAAACTGGCTGGTTGAAATCGAAAACCACTAATCATTAAACTGAATTTCTACCAGTCTGTGGCTAGTTGGCTACCATTAGTGTCAAGTCCTGATATTCCCACTGAACATAACTGAATGCAAACCATAATTCTAATACAAGGTCAGCAGCAAACTCACTTCTGCTCAAGATCTGTTAGTTGTTTCATGTTTTGCTGTTGTTGTTGCAAGAGTTCATAAGTGCTGTTCACCAATTTCACAATGTCAAATGTATCTGGAGGCCCACGTCCATTGCGAGAAGGTGTAAAAAGTGAGGAAAAGCCAAGAACACCAAGTTCCTAAGGGAAAAATTACCACACTTTGACATCATAAGTGATAAATAACTAAACAAATGTACAACAACATGGAATCTATTTGTTAACCCATTGATGAGTGACCAGGATAGAATTTATTTTCACAGTATCAAATGAATACAATATCAAGCAGACAAGTGATGGAAAGAAAGAAAAATATCAACAATTTAAAAGGGGTTATCCATTGTTTTATTTGGTAGTTTTATTCGGGATTATTACTCTTCTGATCCAATGCCAAATTCTCCAAACTAACATGATAAGAATTGCATGGGTGATATGGCAGATAGACTTCAGAACAATTATTAATGAGATCTCGGGAGTAAAAGGCTTAAACTTACTTGTACATTAAAAGTTAAAAAAAATTGTTTGACCTTGTTGCCTGAATAAAACTGGCAGTATAGCTTATGGATGGGCATAGATGCAAGACAGAGACTCAGTATCAAGAGACAAACAATTAAAAATATTTACTCATTGGTATAATCATTAAGGAAAAAACAAACACATATTTCTTGATTGAATACACAATACTTGTTTTCTAACTTGTTTGCACAATCCATTCTCAAATTTTCCATGCACTGATTGCATGATCATACCCTTTAGAATTTATGAAATAGACCATTACTCTTGGCAGCTGACTTGAAAGATAAACTTAATTTTTAACTATAACCATGTGCAGCAAGAAACATATTCAGTAAAAGGTATATCATGCATGACACTTCAACAACTGTTTCAACATTGGTATGTACATGTAGGATGCTTCGAGGTTTTTCTGTTTTTTTGTTTTCCTTCTCTGTTCACATGTATGATGCAATTATGAAAACAGTGAAATGTCAAACCATAGATGGAAGGGAGACCTTAGAATCAAAGTAGAGCATTAATTGGTATAAAATTTTTGTTACTGATATTGGTGCATTGAATTTCCATTATTACCGTCAGACAAAGACAGATGGGTTACTAAAGATGCTCATGCAAGAACAAACAACACCTTCCCTCAATTTCTCATCCCAGGAATATAAAATTTAAATCTATTCTGTCTTGTGTCCTTAATTACATTCCTGTTAAAATGCATTAATTTGCAAGCCACAAAAGTTTAAGCTCTTGTATCTTAGAGTTTCTTCTTTTAATACCTCTCAATATTCTCACCAGCACATGTAATTCAAGCTTAAGACATGAATAATAAAAAAAATTAATGTTAAATGTCTATTAATGGAAAGAGAAGGTTTAAATTCCACAAATAATTAAGTGCACTCATCTGTATGTTGCAAAATAGTTAAAAAAAATTACTTCAGGCTGAAGTTGTACTGAGGAAAGGGAAAAATTCATTTCATCGCAGCTTCAGTATGCACTTGTATTGTCCATTGGACACATTTCAAAATTTGAAAATTTTAACTTGAAAAAATAAACAGAATTTTTTTTTTTTTGCTCTCAGAGAATTATTGAGAAGTATACAGCTGTAAGAATCTTGTATCTTGACACATGACATCCATTTCGTTTTCAAAACCTTGTCAACTAGCCAAACCCAAATTTTGCTTCAGAGAGATGAAACTTTCTGGTTGTCAAAGACTTCAGCACAAAATATTGACATCTCATTCGTTATTCAATTGTTTGCCGAAGGAAACAAAAAAAGATAATTACAAATCAAGCAGAAAAATAAAACATGAAATGAAAGATTTAACATCTTCCTGATCTTTTAAATTTTTGGCTTTTAAAATCTAACCGCAATAACTACGCCAAAGAGACATGTTATGGAACGAATAGTGGTCGCTAAGAACAAACAAATATCATCTGATATGGTACTTTGCCACAAGGACTGCGAAAATTAATCAAACAACGGTAAAACATACGTATGGGCGAAAAACAAGAAAAAGCGAAAAGGCCACTGAAATTAAAAGTACGAGATCTTGTAAGATAATTTTTTGGCGAACCTTGGCAACAATTTAGCGGTTCGCGAGTTGACGTCCTAATATCATTCATATAATGAAAGAAAGCTTAGAAAGCGCACAATAGGAGCAATAATGAAGCTAATGTACATCGATTCAATGCGATACCACAACACTAAAACAAGAATCGAAGGTAAAACTCACGCCATTTACAAACCTGGTTTAAATAAGCGATACATTGATCGATGTTATCTCGTCTACAGAACTGCTTATCGGCTGTACTAAACACAGGTGAGATTGGCGAAGGAGTGAGCCTCATATCTCCAAAGTCTACTTCTCTTTCCGGGCTTGAATGCCGCGATGAATGTGCCGTGTAACGGTTTACAAAATCTCCCCAGGCTTGGAGTTTTTCAGTCATTATCTTTAATTGCGTCCAGGCGACATAAAGGCGTTGATCGCGAGCCTCCTGCCGAAACCGGATCGCCAAGCTCTGTTTTATCGCTTGTGGGCTTTACTTGAACATTAGCAAGCGGTAAATGAGCTAAAATTAGAATACTCATCGGAGAAATAAATAATTCAAACTGACCACTTTTGAAACATCCGGCAAAATTCAACCAGGCGTTCACGCATGTCAAGTTTAAGCTGACCCGAGATATAGCAGACTCGACCTTTTTCGTTCCAGAAGTCTTATCTAGATTTAGTAGCAATGAGGGATCAAGAAACGTTTTAAAAAGTTCGAATTCATGCACAGATGGAGCGAAAACTGTTGGATTGCAATGGGCTCAGCTCCAGAATCTTTATTGCCTTATGCAATATCTTATTGGATATGCCAAGGCCAAAACAACCGGAAATCTGGGTTTTCTCACTCATTTGAAATCCAAAATGGATTAACGCATTACCATGTTGCATTTAGCCACGCGAGGTGATATCAGCCAGTTTTTCGGGAAAATGATACCGCAAGCCAAATTCTGAGAAAAAAACGTGAATAGAGGTTTTATTGTGCGTGAATTTCTCTTTTTTTCATTTAATTTTTGGGGATGAAGGAGGTTAAGGTTTTCGGGCTAAAAAAGGAATGAAAGTTTTCTCGCATTGAACATCGATTTAAAAAACAGCTTACAGAGGTAAAACTGTTTTGATGTTTTTACCTTGCAGACGGGTAATCTTGTTGAAGGGGCGAGGGCTAGCTTCACTCAAACACCTTTACTCAACATTCAGTTTGACCACTCTTTGCTTCGCACGTGAAGAAGAAGTAAATTCCTAAGGAACAAAAAAAATACTTTTTCAAAGATGGACGGGAAAAACAAATGCATCACGAAAGATCGGATAAACATCTCAAAGGTTCATTTATCGCGAAAAGCAAAAATCAACAGTTCATGGGGTTTTAATTTCGTATTTTCACAAGTCGCGAAAATAAGAAACACCCACTTAAGCATCGCGCTAAAATCCCCTTCATTCCCTCCTCGTAGGAAAAAGGTTAAAAAAAAAAATAAATCACACTGCTAAAGGGGCGTGAAGCATGAAATATTAATGGCGTAATTTACATAAAGTGCGAAAATTATGTATGGTGTAGAAATTATGCGTGGAAAAACGAAAAGAATAGGTGCACATTAATAGGTGCGGAAATAAAAAGACCTTCTACGGC